GCCTTGAGACAAAAACCAAAACTGCCTTTTCTTGTATTCCGTGTTGCAAAATGTACCACTATAAGATGTTGGCTTTTCAGTTGGGAGCAACTTAGGAATGGGTTTATGATGGCCACACCCACCCTCCAGAACACCTGTGACAGACAGGAGGAAGTCACATCTGAGGTGGGGCTGTGTGTTATTGCCCCTGCCCCAAATCCTTGTCACTCCTATTCCTGGCAAATCCCTCTCACTCTCTGTGGTCCACACCCACGTTCCGCTTGGGTAACTCGCTCATCTCAACCATGACACTCAGGGAGCCTGTCCTCATAGAGGCACACAGAGTGTAGAAGTGAACACACTTTACCAAAGGATGGCTCATCTGTCTCCCCCACCAGCACGTGGCAGGGAGGGGCGGTGCCCAGCTCACCCTGCACCACAGTGCTTGGCATCAAATAAGCTCCAAGTCAAAGTTTGATGAATGGTTGTTGATGGAAAGGGGTGTGTGTGTGTGTGTGTGTGTGTGTGTGTGTGTGTGTCAGACAGACAAAGAGACACTACTGTGGAAAATGCTGGGCTTGGAAATGAGACCAGGTTCTGAATCCCAGCTTTGTCCCTCACCCTACCCTTCAAGACTCCCAATGTTTCCATAGCCTCAACTTCATTATCTGTACAATGGATCTGCTCAATGCCCAGCTTTGCAGATCAGTGATGAATGTAAAAGGAAATCTACATTAAGCCTTTAATCTCAGTGCTTGGCCCAGAGCTTACCAGAGCTGAACAGCAGCTATCATGACCAGGCAGTGAGAAAGTTGGGTGGGCTAGGCCAGAGACCCAGCTTTCAGAAGGCAGCACTGACATGTAAAAATAGAGCTTTGAGCTGTGTAACAGTGAGATCTAGCAGAGTGGATTCCTGGGTGGACTTCCTGCTTTGATATGGCAAAGGGAAACAGGAGGCCCCAGCCCCAAGTGCTAAAAATAGGCGATGCCAATAGACTTTGACCTTGCTGCAGGGCTAGGCAGGGCACTATGGAAACCAGGCCTGGCTCCTCACAGGGAACTGGGGTGTGAGAGCTGGGGCAGCTGTGCCAACAGCTCTGCCACTGCCAGCCCTCAGATTTGCTAGCCGGGGGAGTGTCAATTTTTGCAGGTGCCTCAATTATGGGGTAGTAAGCCAATGGCCAAGCACCCCCCCCCCCACTTCCTGGCCCCAATTCTCCCTAGAAACACACCTCTCACAGCACCCAATAACCTGCCACCAACTCCTTCCAGTCCCTTGGAAAAATCAATGCTACCTTAGAAGCTGGCTCAGCAAACCTCCCAAAGGGCTCTTGCCTAAACTGCTACGGTTGCTCCTGCAGACAAGGTGGCCTTGCAGGCTTCAGTTAACCTTCTTAGTACACTTCCAGTAGAAGCTGGAAAGACTTCTGGTTCCCCTTAGCGTCTCCAGCTAGGAAGTGGAGGCCCACAGCAATATGCGGATTATAAAAACTTTTGTCCTCCGTAACCTCCTAAGTCCCACCATTTCTCTGTGAATTATGCAGATAGGAAAGAGGAGACCCAAGAGTCCAGTGCACTAAAATGAGCATTAAACCTCAACCCACAAAACCTGGTTGGAGTTGAGCTGTGCTACTGATTGACTTGCCAGGGTCAAAAGGCTTTGGTTTCACCATCTAGGAGATGGAAAAATTGAACAAATGGCTCTGAAGGTTCCTTCTGGGACTAGAGACCAAGTTCTAGGCTGTGTGCCTTGTCATCAAGAAGTCACCCAGTCAAGAAGAGGAAGTCCTAAGCTGAGGATCTAATACACAAGGTTTGTTCATATACACAAATAAGGAAATAGAGGAAAATGAACAAACTACCACACAAAGCAAAGTAAGCTCAGAGAAACATTTACTTAGAGGAAAATGTGTCAGTGGCTTAGAACATGCTGTGTAAAGGACTGTCACCTGAGAGGGTGGCCAGAAATTAAACCAGGTGAGAAAAGGTGCTCCAGAAGGGGACCCGGTGCCAACAGAGACAGCTTAGAAAAGCGCAGCTGCCACCAGAACCCAGCCCAGCTAGAAATGAAGACTGGTGAGCAAGAAGGGTCTCTGGATCCCCGGTCAGACCAGGAGGCCCTGCACCTGCTCATGTCTGCAGAGCTGGATGCTGGGCAGGCTTCAGGACCTGTGGAGTGTGAGAGCCTGCAGGTGTCTGTCCTGGGAAGGGCGCCTAGATCCTGCTGTCAGCGTCCTCCAGCCTGCCCAGAGCCAGGGCCCTGCAGGCAGGAAAGCCTGGAGGAGGAGGGAGCAGAGGTTCACAGCAAAGTCTGTTGTAATGGAGACACAGGCGTGGCTTTCTGGGAACCCTAGTGGCTGGGGGAGGGGGGAACAGTGTTACCTGGGGATGACATGTCATTCAGGCAACAGGCTCAGCTCTAAGGGCAGAAGTGATGGATATCTTCTCTCACTAGGGAGGAGGCACCGGATGGGCACGGCTGCCTCTCTTTTAGACTCAGAATCACCAAACATTATACTGAGAGAATAATTGCAAGACCCCATTTTATGATGAGGAAACTGAAGCCAGAGGGGGAAGGGTGGCGTAACTAATGCGCACCTAATAAGTCAGGGGTCCAGGCGGGAACAAGGTCCAGGTCCAACTCCCAGTCCAGGGCCTGAGATGTTCTGAAATCAAAACCATCACCTGCAGGAAGACACATCAGAGAAGGCAGAGAGAGAAGTATTTCAGGGACAAGAAGGGCTGAGGAGGGCTGCAGAGGGTCAGACACTGGGAACAGAGACTCTAAACTTGGCATTCAGGAAGCAACGGGAAGGAATCTGAGATGCAGGTGCAGGGAATGAGGCTGGAGACTCAGGCGTACTCCCTTAAGACAGAATAGTGAAAGGCGTCCAGACCCGAGCATGAGACGGCCCACTCTTCTCAGCTAGAGGGCAGGCCAATGTCGGAAGAGTCTCCAAATAACTCGACTATGAGTCCGGGGAAGGCTCAGAAGGAAAGCTGAGAGGCACTTAAGGCTAGAGGAGCAGCTCGGGGGCTTGGACTTTGCTGAACCTGTGATCTGTGCTGGCGCCAAAAGGCACAGCGTGACTCTCCAGCAAGGCTTGGCAGTCATGAGAAGCAGCAAAGGAAACAGATGGGTCGCAACGTTGAGGGGACAGAAGAATCAAAGGGCAAGTGAGGACACAGGTGAGACGGCTGTGGCTTTGCTAGGGCACAGAGGAAGGGGTCGGGAAGCTGGAGAAAGGAGAGTAAAGTGGGAGGGGGTCATTAAGGGCTGAGACCAGAAGCTGAACTAGAAAGATGAACTAAAGGGACGTGATCATGGAATTCTGGATCCTGGAGCAATTGGGAGGTGACAGGACCCAAAGTGTGAGGCTGCTCTATGAAATGTTAACGAGATCGGTGTCCAGAACCCTGAATCCAAAGGTTGATCAGTGCAAGAGAAAATCCAAGTCAGCAGAGGCCTTGCCGGATGGAAAGGACAGTGTCGAGGTCAGAGGGCAGGGCACAGGGTGGCCCAGCTGTACAGGAAGATGAATGGGATGAAGGGGCAGAAAGGGAAGTATCAGTTGCCTCCTCTCCATGGCCCAGGTGGGTCCAGAGTAAGAGTCTCCAGCATGGAAATGGAGAAGGAATCTGGACCATTAACAGAAGGAAGAAACATCTAGAAAGTGCAAGGCAATGGCGTGGGAGAGAGGGGACAACTCAGCAGACAGGAAATCCTGGAGGTACAGAGGGAGCAGGGGGAAGAGTCTGCCCAGGGGGTGCTGAGCCAGGATGCATTTCAGTCCCCATTCCACAGTATCATCCATGGACAGACTCATGGAGACACATTCTCAGGCAGTTCCAATTCCAGGCACCTATTTTGAGCATCTTTATCTAACAACTGTCACTAGAAGCTTTAGAAAGTACCTAAAAAAGTATCTTTCTCGTAGAAAGGTTTAAGCACACATGATGCACTCCAGGTCTCTACCTGGAAACCCACGTTTTCATAAGCTGTTCAAAATAGCACCGCCCCTACCATCTATCCCCTACTCCTGCTTTATTCTTTATTATTTTTTAAAGATTTATTTGTTTATTTATACAAGAACCGGGGTACAAGCCAGATTCGCGGGAGGATGAGAGGATTTACCAGAGACAGAGCAGGGAACAGAACAAGCAGACTGACTGAAATACACTGCTGAGGGGAGCAGCGGGCAAGACAGGAGAGGTCTGCTGCACCATGTGGGACCCTTGCCGATCGGCCAGGATCGAACCAGTGCTGCAGAGGCTGCGGACAGCTTCACAGTGCAGCGCTCAACCGCCTGCGCCACCAGGGGAGGCCTTGCTTTATTCTTTTTAACACTTACTATCATCCATCGTATTAAATACATGTTTATTACTTTATCTGCGGTGTTTAGAACAGGTCCAGCACATAGTAGGCACTCAATAAACCTTTTTAGATTGCTTAATACATTATCTTTGAAACCCAAAGCTACATTTTGTTGGGGGAGAAACTGAAGTCGCTCCTGTTTTTGAAAGAGAGGTTCTGAGCTGGGTTGAGTCCACGGGCTCCACATCTCCACTGTGACTATTTCTGTCTCAGGCAAACTCAGTGTGGTCTTTGCTGCCCTGACACAAGCTGCAATCCAGTCTCAATCAATGCCAAGACCTGCCCAGGAAGACCACAGGACAGTGGTACAGCATCTTCTGTTGCTTCAAAAAAAGGTAGTATCATTAAAGGAACCTCTATAATGATATTTCTTCTTCCTACCTCCTCTACAAACACAACCATGTTAATCTCAGTGCTTGGAATGTTTCGCTGATGCAGGCCTATGAACCCCTAATGCTTCTCTTTCCTCTTCTCCTGGTCAAGGAAAGGCCATCATGATGCATTTCACATGGGCAGCCATGCCCACTCTTTACTGCGTCAATATTGTATTTTTATTCTTATTTCTCTCTGCCAATTTCTAGCAACTGTGGGTCTTCAATTAGCATGAAAAGCCAATCTCTCCAGAAATGAATCAAGAAATACATACTGTGACCTGGGCGGAGTCGAGGAACTGGAGGCCAAAGTAATCTGTTTCCACAAGGTCCAAGTGGTATACGATCTGATCAAAAAGATCCTGGCCTTTGGCGTGTTTCTGGAAGACAAGTGGGAAGATGAAAATGTAGGCTATGACAGCTGGGTAAGGAACGAAAGGCTTGTAGTGCATAGACAATGTGCCACAGTACACACATTTAAAATTCTTAATTTGCTTTACTGTAATAGAAACTTATCATTAAATCTAAGCACTTACAATGATGAATAAAAAACAACTTCTGAGCATGGGGAGCCCATGCCTTCTTATGAACACTGGTATATGAACGGAAAGGATCAAGCATTGATTCTGGCTTTTCGGCTGTTTGCTTTTTTATCTGTTTAGTTTTGTTGGTTGTCCATAGCCCTGGGTAACCAACAATAGATAACAGTATCTACAAAAGTTGACTTCAAATGAACTGAAGATGTATATGTAGAGTTAAAACTACGAAACTCTCAGAAAAAAACATAGGCACAAATTTTCATGACTCCGGATTAGACAATGGCTTCTCAGGACTCACAAAACAGAGACAACAACAGATAAAAATAAACCAAACATCATCAAAAAGTAAAGTTATTGTGCTTCAAAGGATGCCAACACATCAAGAAAGTATAAAGACAATGAATCATGGGAGAAAAGTCCTGCAAATTCTAAGTCTGATAAGGGACTTCTATGTAGAATAAAGAACTGTTACAGCTCAATAATAAAGACATCCAGTTTTAAAATGGGCAAGAGAAATACATACATAGATACACAGATAGGTAGCTCTCAAAAGAGATATAAATGCTCCACAAGCAAATAAAAAGATGCTCAGCATCATAAATCTTTAGGGAGATACAAATCAAAACCATCGGATACCACTTTACCTAGCATGACAGCTACAATAAGAAAGACAGATAATAACAAATGTTGGAGAAATTGGAACTCTTATACACTGCTAATGGGAATGTAAAATTGTGCAGCCGCTTTGAGATATAGCCTGGCAATTTCTCAAATTGTTAAACAGAGTTACCATGTGACCCAGCAATTCCACTTATAGGTACATACCCAAGATGAAATGAAAACAGAAACATGTACACAAATGTCCATTTATACAAAGTAGCATGATTCATAATAGCCCCAAAGTAAAAACATCAAGTATCTATCAATGAGCAAAAGATATAACCTGCTCCCCACATCTCTCTCTCCACACAAAAACCAAACCAAGCCTGGAACCAATTCAACCATTAAACCCTGCCACCAACGCAGGACCTGCAGAGGGTCATTCTAAACTATGTGGAGTGGAGATAAGCAAGACCCAGCCTGTAGGAAACTCTAGAAACAAATGACCCACTTACTTCAACAAACAGATACAAGGAAGAGAAAAGATGGAGGGGAAACCTACAGATTAAAAGAGTCTTTAAGAGACATTAAAAAACCCCTGAGAATATTAAAAACTAAAAACGTCATTGCCTAGGTGATAAAAATGGAAAAGGTGTGATTACAACAAAATCAGGGCAGTTGCAATTCCTGGGCTGGGGAGGGGCTGTGTGGGTAGAAAATGTCATTCAAGTATCCTCTTCTGCTGAAGACAGAATTCCCAACAACCCTTTCTTTTTTTTTTTAGAAATTTCTTTTTTTTATTTTTTTATTTTTTTTAAGATTTATTTATTTATTTATACAAGCACTGGGTACAGTCAGAAGCACGGGAGGGTGAGAGAATTCACCAGAGCCAGAGTGGGGAGCAGAGCAGGCAGAAGGACCGAAGTACACTGCTGAGGGGAGCAGTGGGCGGCAGGAGAGGTCTGCGCGCCATGTGGGACCCTCCTCCGGTGGCCGGGGAGCAGCCGGGGATTGAACCGGCGCTGCAGAGGCTGCGGGCAGCTTCGCAACCCAGCGCTCAACCGCTGCGCCACCGGGGAGGCCCCCCAACAATCCTTTCTGATGCCAAAAATAGAGTGGTAAAATTATGAGGATTATGAGGACTGGCATGGGGGCCCTCCAAACATGCCCCAGTGGGTAGGATGAAGAAAGGGGTGGGGTGGAGACCACAGCCCTTGAACCCACCATCTCTCACTCCTCCCAGCCTGAAGAGCATTCGCTTTTACAACTAAGAAGGCTCCAGATACCTTAGTCCACCTGTCCCATCAGCCAGGACTTCAGTGGTAGGGCTGGGTGGAGGGAGGAGGAAGACCCTAGAAGCCCATAAACCATCACTTCAGGCTTAGCCTAAACACGGGGTCTCCTGTCCCAGGGAAGTGTCCCCTCCTGGGTGTTCTCACCAGTAGCAAGTGCCTTTATTGACTGCAATTGCTATTACACCATGTGGCCTGGGTTCCTGTCTTGCTGCTGTTTCAGACTGAGCCCTCCCAGAGGGCAGGGACCAGCTGTGTTCATCTGCACACCTCCTCACCGCCCTCCATCCGCAAAGCATGGTGCAAGGCTGGCACACAGCAGGCGCTGCATGAATTCTGTGCACTGGAGGGCTGGGGCACAGGTGGTGTCTGGAGCCAAGAAACAGATCCTTGGGATGGGGTGAGCATGCCCAACAGAATGCTATTTCACAAAGTGGCCGCAAGGAAAAAAAAAAAAAAAACGCTCATTAAAATCTTTTCAAATTAAGTATTCTACGAACAAGTGCCTAGGGAACTGTGCTGTACTTCCAAGGCTGTTTACCTCAACACAATTTTGTGGCTATTAAGTGAAGTGCTGTCTAGTGGTTATAATGGGAGATCTGTTAATGTGACAAAATTGGAAGCCGCTCCTCGTTCTCTGTTAACTAGGTCTCCTCTTCAGTATGAATTCATTTTCATTCATTCATTCAACAAATATTTACCAACTGCTCAGCAGGTGCCAGCTATCATTCTAAGTGTGTGGAGTACAGTGGGGCCAGAGTGGGAAGGGAGGAACTACAGGTAGTCCTCACTAACCAGGTACTTCTTGGGGAGCAAAGTCATCCAAAGCAGTTTGAGATCCAAACCCATAGGTTCTCAGAGCCACTTAGCTCCCCACATTCTCAAGCAGAAGAAACTGCAGGTAAAACCTTGCTAGGTCCTGATCACCATTCTGGAACCAGAAAGCTGTCCCAGATGCAGCAGGGCAGAGAGCTCTCTCCTGAGTCCTGGCATCTACCCATCTCAACACATCACTTTTCACAAGAACCACAACCAGAGGTTTTGAGTCATTGTGTCTCTCTGTAGCAGCTCCTTCTGATCTGAAAGTAGCTCAGAATACCCAAGCTCATTAAAGTCATGTGTAAAATAAAAGCACAGAGTTGCCAAGTACAGACTGGGTCAGGCAGACAGCCAGCAGGGCAAGGCATGGACATAGCGATATCTTTGCTGGATGTCAGAGGGTCCTATTCTGCTTATGTACTGGTTCCCAGCCATGTTCCTGATAAGGAAGACCACTACACTGTTGATATCTTAACTGTCCCCCAAATAAATTAATGATCCTGACCCTCTAAGATTACAGGCAACTGGCAACAACATAACAGGTTAACTGGTCCTGGAAGGGAGAAGATAGAAGCCAGCGCATCCAAAATCACATTAGTCTCCCCAGGATGAGGAGCCAGGCCTCCCAGGTAGGCTTGGAAGAAGAAAATGAGCTTTGAGTGAGGGTGCCAGTCGAGTGTCCACATCCTAGTTGCGAACTAAAATGGAAGTAGCTGACATCTGAGCAGTGAAAGGATTTCAGCTGCCAGTTCCTTGCAGGCACATGGGACCTTGTGTCCACCTGCTCCACAGGCATCAGATGGCACGTGCCTCTGCAAGCGCTTTCAGAAAGGCCACATTACCTCCTTTGGGCTCAGCAACAGCCCTGCCTGCCCCCTCTCTGGGGTCCTGATAGGTCTAGCATCCCCACACACAAGTCCTCTCAGTCACTTCTCTGCACAAAAACACCCACGAGAATGAACTGCAGGCAGCTCAGCCAGGTTCAGGGACTCTTCACAATCAGTGCTGCCCAATCCAATACACATCTTAATCCCCCAGGCCCTACACAGGCCCTCAAATGTTGAAACACAGGCAACTAACTCATGTACCCCAACACATGCAGCAGGGCCCACCTCAGGATTGTCTGTGTCCTTCCTTTGCCTGGGAACCCCTCCCACCTGCCCCCTCCTCTCCCCACCTCCAGCAAGCTAATCACACACTCTGTCAAGTGGTCATTAAATTGCTTGTGGGCAACATCCGGCCATGTTTGTCTTTGCTTTTTTTTTTTTTTAAAAAAAGATTAATTTTTGCTTCTTTTTTTAAAAGATTGATTTATTTATTTATACAAGCACTGGGTACAGTCAGAAGCGTGGGAGGGTGAGAGAATTCACCAGAGCCAGAGCAGGGAACAGAACAGGTAGACTGAAGAAATACACTGCTGAGGAGAGCAGTGGGCACGGCAGGAGAGGTCTGTTGCTCCATGTGGGACCCTTGCCAGCGGCCGGGGATCGAACCGGCGCTGCAGAGGCTGAGGGCAGCTTCGCAGCCCAGCATTCAACCGCTGCGCCACCAGGGGAGGCCCTGTCTTTGCTTCTGAACCAGCTGACATTCTGAAGCTCAATAAACATAGACGCTGAGATGGTTAAGGTGCGCAGTTCCCACAACAGTCATAAAACAACCCACTTTTCAGAAGTCTGATCTTTCTAGTCTGAGTCTGGGCTAGGAATCCGCTCTAGCAAGGGGGAACCTGGGTGCACCCCCATCTTCCCTCCCAGACCTCCTGTGTGTTCTAATGAGACTAGGACAAAGGTGTATTGGAAACAGACATGCTGGGGCCTCAGCTTGACTGTGTCTCATACACATGACATACTATCAAGTCCTGGCTTTTTAACATATGGGTTAAAAAAATAACCAAATAATTGCAATGATTTCTAAACCTAAGCACAGGCTTTGCATTTGTTCCAATTAAATTTCAACCTTTAAATTGGCTCATCATCTCTCCTGTTACAAATATGAGTTCCAGGCTGTCAACCCATATACCAGTCACTGACCTCTGTTTTACAGTATGAGAAATTTGGTGTGTGAGATGTGGGGAGGGGTTGTTGAGCTGGGGAGTAGTAGGAGGACTGGTCTTTCTTCAGTTGGAAAGTA